AATGAGCGATAAACTTCAGAATGTTCTAGAGTTGCCATAAGTGCCAGCGCAGGTATATAAGGGCGCCGCCACCGCGAGGTTAGTTAGTTACAAGTCAGCAAGCTACAAGTAAACTGAGCAGAGAAGCGAGTTGCGAATAAGCAAGCTATAAGTTTAATTGTGTTAACAAGTAGTAAAGCGTTGTAATTGCTTTAACAAGTATTGTAGTGTTTTTACTGTATTAGCAAGTATTGTAAAATTGTTTGTTGTACAATAAAGTTAATTGTACTACCATTTGGTCATCGTTAGCCTTTATTTAACAATCCAGCGATACGAACCGGAGGATTTGGGAAATCCGGACGAGGGTTCAAGGATAATCGTAACAATACATAATTTTAAAGCAACGATGCCGATTCAAATTAATAAAAAATCAATGTTTCTTGCACGACGGTCGATTTCTTCTGGCATGATTGTTGTTGCTTATGATTGTCACTGTGCCATGATTTTGTTGAAATTTTTGTAAAGTGGCTTACCACACCTACGATTGCTATACATTTTGTTAAAATTTTTTTTTAATTTTCAAATTTGGTGTCTGCAAACTAAACACAAAAGCACCAAAAACGAACCAAGCACCAAACTCAAAAATTTTAGCGTTTTGAATATCCACTAAATGTGGTGCGAAAAGCACTAAGTTGGCAACAGTGGACGTAAACAAAAGTATTGTGTGACGTCAGCGAATAGGTGGATGCTGTCAAATCGACGAAGAGAGGGTTAGCGGTCCGCGAATGGCACCTCCTTCAATTTCTGCATCGTGCCACTGCATGGTACAATTATTAAAGGTATTGTCTTCCCAGAGAGTTTTGCTTTATATAGAAATTCGTACTCCCTTATTTTCATTTTGATGCATTTCAATGTTGACTCTTTTACTGGTGACTTTGCTTTTGGTTGTCGCTCAATTAAATTTTAATAATTAAAAAAAAAGGAAAAAAAGGTTTGAAATAAATTGAGCTTTAAAAATTTTTGTTTTGTTTACTAAGCAAATATTTATTTTTGGCAAATTAAAGTTCTTTGCAAGAAGGTTTATTTAAAAAAAAATACATGAACATATCGCCACTACACACGAATAAAGGCGCGCTAGTGTTTTGACGGCGAAAAAAGGCGTTAAAAAAAAATTTTTGCGAAAAAAGATGCTTATAAAAAACTTTGGCGAAGTATGTTAGGAGTCTTTGACGCTGACATTTTTTTATGCGTGTTTTTTCGCCGTAAACTTTTGAGCTCTCGCCTTTATTCTTGTCGGGTGACGATATATGGTTTATGGTGAATAGAAATATCCCGTTTCCCTTACAGTAAACCTTTTAGTGTGGGCAGCAATGATATTTTTCAAATAAGGCAGATCGTAATAAGCGCTGTCTGGGAAGACAATACCTGTAATTATTGTACCATGGTGCCACTGTATCACTTTCTTTCCTCCCAAGAGCTGGTCCCAAAACCTAAGAAAATGGCTTCTTTTGCTCCCATTTATTTTAATCAAGAAAACGGCGTTTGACAGCATTGAATACATTTATTTTTTGCTGGTTTTTATACTTAAAAGAGGATTTCCAGGTAAACAAAAATATCAGAATAACTGCTATTATATACATATAGCACACCAAAAAAAATTGGTGTATGCTTTTAACCAGACCCACCTACCGACATGTACTTCTACCCGCTGAATCCGAATCCGAGGCCTGACTTTGACTTCTACACCCACGAAATTTCGAGTAAATTGTGAAAACCGTGTCTAGGCGCCTCTGGGCTTGGGACAAAATCTGCGCCCTGCGGGTTTGCCACTAATTTCTTCGAGTTGCGGTCAAAAACTTTGAGATTCTCTGATTTACTTGACTAACAATAAGTTTTTTTTTTTTTTACTTTTCGAGTGTATTCTGTAAACACGTAGATTTGTTATGTACTATGCACTTGAATCGCTTATCTAGTTTCATATAAAATATTTTAACAATCTTGTCATTGTTTAAGCTTTATCGATTCACAACTGCATTTTAAAGAAAAATATCTGATTTATAAACCTGCCTTTACATCAATCAATTCAATTTCTTGATGTCCCTTTAGATACGCATTCGTAGCGTATACGGAGTTCAGAGAATTACTGAAAGTAATTCGTAAACTTATGCCTGTACCAGTAAGCAACGAGGTATTTGATATAATGGCAAACAGTTGGACCCATTCAGGAAACAGACTGAGGGTAAAACTGTTATTGTCCCAATTTGGCAAGCCTACTCACAGTGTTGACAAAAGAGATGTTTTCTGCTTTATGATCAATAATTGGACTTTCGCACGAGGCGATTTTCAGGCAACTTTTAGTTGAAAGCAAAAATCGCCTCGTCCGAACGGCCTTTCAACTAATCGCTTTTAACAAAGTTGGTCGCCAGCCAACTTTGAGCTCGTTCAACTTTTTTTCCTTGCAACCCTGTGTTTGTTTATATTCTGTATACATACTTTTTTTATTTTTTACTTTTTTACTCTAATTTTATCTTTCAGCTTCGCTAAAAGCACTTCTACCAACGCTTGGCTTACCAAATTTACGTCAATTGATACAATTTTGCGATTTAAATTCATTTTCAATAATGTAAATAACAATTCGTGTTGAATCGAAAATCGCCTCGTCTGAATAGGGATGACAACTTTTTCACTTTCAACTTCTCATTCAACTTCGTATTCAACTTTTGTTTTTTTGTTGAAATCGCCTCGTGCGAATGCCCTATAATACCTACTAAAATTTTAGCTTACCAATTTTGGTAGGAAAAGCCGAAAACGGCAACCCTGCTCTCACAGCAAACTCGGAAAGAGCGAGTTTGGCGACTCTCACAGCAAACTAACAGTGTTGCCAGAATGTTCTGGGCCTACCGGATAAATTGGCAAAAAAAAACGGGTAAAACCGGCTAAAATGTTTCAGCAGTTGCGAATATGTCCTGGAACCGAGTTCCAGATGCGAATAGCATTGAAGAAAAATAGTCTTGCAGATGCTAGATAATTGTACTTGGGTATAATCAGGTCAGTAAAGCGTGCAGACTTTGAGAAGGATACATTTTCGTATAGATATCTAGGATCTTTATCCATCATTAGGCGAAATAAAAAATTACAATTTCTTGCTTTTAGGCATTCAGAGATACTGCAGCCCAATAGTCGCGATTTCCAATCGGATATTCGCTCAAATTTCGATAGCCCAAAAACATATCGAGTAAAATGATTGAATACTATATCAATTTTATAAGAAGATTGAGAATCCAGGCTGCTATAGACTAGTTCAGAATAGCAGATAATCGGCAATATTAATTGAATGGACAGTTTATGCCTAACGGTTAATGGTGTAAAAGTAATGGTCTTAAAGTATAACAGACTTTGCCTATGACAGAGTTAACATGATCAGTGCATGTTAGGTTAGTGTTTATAACAAAACTGAGATTAGTCACTTTAGAAACAAATTTAAGAGACTTATCACCAAGGTATAAGGACGGAATAGCATCAAATTTAATATTTCTTTTACATACAGGTAACACAAAGGATTTATCACAGTTGAGACAAAGATAATTTTTCGAAGACCAAGACGATATAGACCATAACTCTCTGTTGAAATTCTCGCACAAGTTAGCCAGCTCCTCAAATAAATGTGACAAATAAATCTGTATGTCGTCTGCATAAGCATGCATTTTTGCATATTGGCAAGTACTGAAAATTATTATTATTATTATGGGCCATATGTCCCGCGACCTCTAAAGTGGTCTATTGTGCGTGGGCCCCCGCCCTATATGGGAAGGCTCTTAATGTAGCCTAGCACCGTCAAGGGCGTTTTGTTCCAAATTTCAAATGGATTAAGGGTAGCGCCACCAAAGTGGGCTAGTCTGCGCCTAGCGAGAACATCACATTCACAGAGAATGTGTTCTGGCGTTTCTTCGTCCAGCTCACAGAATGTTTCTGAAAGATTGATTTTACTGAGGTGGTAACCAAGAGAACAGTGTCCCGTGTAGTACCCAGTGAGAGTTTTGAGGTCCTCTCTGCCTAAATTGATTAGTTTCTTTGAAACGTCGTTTGAAGGACAGATAAATTGTTTGGCTTGTATTTGCCCTGGACATTCCATCCAATGCCTGTTGAACATTTTATCTACCCAGTTATTTATGGTCCCCTTTATATGTGCTTTGGTGAGCCCACAAAAGGGTTAAGGACCATAAAATACTGCGGCAGCTCCCTGTTTCGCTAGGCAGTCAGCCTCCTCATTGCCATCATGTCCCTCATGCCCTGGTACCCATCCTAATAAAACTGTATTCTTGTCACCAAGAGCATTTAGGACATTGCGGCAATCATATACCAGCTGAGAACTTATTTTGTGGGACTTCAAGGCCAGTAGGGCTGCCTGACTGTCCGACATAATGCAGATATATTTCGTTGACGTTCCCCTTCTAAGACATTCTCTGCCATAAATTTCTATTGCATGAATCTCCACCTGAAAGATGGTGGGGTAGCTACCCATTGGTATCGATTTTTTAAAGTTCGGCCCAAAAATGGCAGCCCCAGTTTTACCATTTTCAAGCTTAGATCCATCAGTGTACCAAACCTCCCCATTAGGTTTGGTGTATGGGTTCCCTGTATTCCAGAAAGCTCGATCTGCAATGTGTACCTCAAATTTTCTAGAGATTTCTAGTTTTGGAACAATTGCATCGCGCATTTGTAGTATGGGGTCATTAGCGAATTTCATTAGGACCTTCATGTGACCCGTCATATTTCCGATTTTCAGGTCGGAGGTGTTCAGGATTCTCAGTGCCGCTGTGGTAGCCTCCTTTTCTATTAAAATAGGAAAGGGAGGTATTCCAACCACGGCGCTGAGTGCATCGGCCAGGCAGGTCTTCATAGCTCCTGTTATGCCAATGCAAACTATTCTGTGCAATTTACTTAGCTTAGTGCTTGCACCTCTTTGTGTAGCCTTAGTCCACCATGCTAAGGAGGCATAGGTTACTATTGGCTTAACGACAATGTTGAATGACCAGTAGGTCATTTTGGGGGTAGGGCCCCATGTTTTACCAAAAAGTCGTGAACAGGCAAAGAAGGCCTTCATCGCCTTGTTGATAACAGTGTCCAAATGTGCATTTAAGTTAAGTGTTTTATCAAGAGGTACTCCCAGATATTTAGCTTCACGGGAAAATTCTATTTCTGTTCCGCTCAAAGTGAGTTTAGTAGTAGATAATTTCCTCCTTCGAGTGAATGGAACAATAATAGTCTTCGTAGGATTGATAGTTAGGCCTTTATCCTCCCACCATTTGTGTGTGATGCGTAGGGCTTGTTGCATGCGGTTGGTGATAGTNATGTTGAATGACCAGTAGGTCATTTTGGGGGTAGGGCCCCATGTTTTACCAAAAAGTCGTGAACAGGCAAAGAAGGCCTTCATCGCCTTGTTGATAACAGTGTCCAAATGTGCATTTAAGTTAAGTGTTTTATCAAGAGGTACTCCCAGATATTTAGCTTCACGGGAAAATTCTATTTCTGTTCCGCTCAAAGTGAGTTTAGTAGTAGATAATTTCCTCCTTCGAGTGAATGGAACAATAATAGTCTTCGTAGGATTGATAGTTAGGCCTTTATCCTCCCACCATTTGTGTGTGATGCGTAGGGCTTGTTGCATGCGGTTGGTGATAGTTTCGTCATGAAGCCCTGTTATGCAGATCATCTGCGTAGCCTTGCGTATTAAAGCCTTGGCTGTTCAGTGTGAAAATAAGTTCGTCTACAACCATAGTCCACAAAAGGGGAGAGAGTACACCCCCCTGAGGGCATCCCCTTGTGGCTGTTATCGATTCTATCGTGCCTCCTAATTCCAAACTGATGTTTCGTGTTCTTAACATTGATAACACCCATTGATTTATGATTGAGCTTACACCCTTTCTTAACAAGGCATCTTTTATTGCCTTATATGATGTGTTACCAAAAGCCCCTGAAATATCAATGAAGGCGCAAAGGGCTATATTTTTAGACTCCAGAGCCTTCTCAATTTTTGAAGGAAGGCTATTAATGGCAGTCTCAGTGGATTTGCCTGGTGGATAGGCAAACTGGTTCTTATTCAGAGGCCGTTCCCTTAGGTTGACTTCTCTGATGTAATGATCCAGTATTTTCTCCATGCCTTTTAGAAGAAAGGAACTGAGGCTAATTGGTCGGTAGGATGACGGTAATTGTTCCTGCTTACCCATTTTGGGTAGAAACACGACCTTAACCTCAGACCATATGCTGGGGATGTGACCCAACAAGAGCGAAGCTCTATAGAGTTTAGAAAGGACCGGCGCTATGTGTCTAATTCCATGCTGCAGGAG